TATTGAAAACTAGTTAATTGAAAGAAAAACAACAACAACAAATTAAGTGCTCCTTTTATTTCCGATTTGCGAAAAATAAATGTATTAGAATGTGTGTGATTCTGTATATCGCTGTAAACATAAAATTTATGAAAGAAGTATTGTTATAATAAATAAATAAATTTAAAAAAAAAAAAATAAATAAAAAACGACATAAAATTGGTGTCATTCCATAATTTAAAAAAGTAATTAAATTCTAAAAGGGGAACATAAACTCTTCTGTGCCCTTTTGCAGAAAAACACATTATAATAAAAAGGTGAATATTTAATTTAATTAATTAAATTTAAAAAAAAGTAAACAATTTAAATGAATAGAATAAATATATAAAAAAACTCACTAAAGAAAATGTTATTTTTGAATGCGCAATTTTGAAGAAAATTGGCATGGGAAATGACAATTTGATGCCTTAGAGGTTTTTTAGTTCAGGATTAACAGCTGTTATCGCGATGATGTTTAATCCCAGTTCATTGCTAATTAAATTTGGCGAATAGTGGAAAATTTATATTGTGTATTGATTTTATTTGTTTTTTGTTTTGCATTGTAATATTTCATTACTTCCCTAAATAAATGCTCAGTATTTCAGGAAGTACTTCAGGAAAATGTTCCTAAATGGGAATTCTCAAAATTCTGCTTCTAATTTTCTTATTTGCCTTAAAACAACCAATATTCAAATTTACAGTGCAATAGTCTTCATTGTCATCCATTTGTCATCCATCGGATTCCATTTGCATTTTATAAAAAATCATTACATTTTAGTTGGAAAGCATCTAATTATTTTTATATTAAATTGAATTAAAACTACAAATTCTCAAAAATTGGAAATAAATAAGACGTTAAAAATTAAAAATATATATATCAGTCAGATCTGCTACTTTTCAATTTAATTCTTACAAAAATGTTTATCTTTTTCTGAAAAATAAAAATCGTCTAATTTTTCAAATAATTTTTAAAGGCGAGCACGTCTCTGAGATAGCATGTCGTAGTTGAGAGCTAAATATGGGTAAATGCGGAAGCAGTTCGAATGTGATTTTTTGCTTTTTGTTATGTGAAGATATTAAATATTGCATGAATACACGTTCTACTGATATCTTCAGAATGCCAGTTGGAATACAATTAAATATAAACAATTTCGAAATATCTTTTCGGTTAGTTTTGTAAATATAAATTTCGAAATTTTTAGAGGCCCACATTTTGAGAAGTATGTTCTGTCCCCCATGACTGTCTTTTATTTTCGCGATCAGGGAGACGAGACCTATCAGATTGGGTCCTTTTAAGACTTAGGAATATTTCTAATGCTCAAATTTCGTAATACCTTAGAACCCACACACTCAACTCAGATTTTCTAATTCAAAACTGTTTCCATACTACCTCAAATATATACAAAATATCACAAATACTTTCTTTTATTAAATTTTGGTGTCTGTATCAAATTTACACATACAGAAGGTTAGTCGGATTTTGAAGCCATGATCTTAGATTTTTATATATTTTGGTGGGCTATGGAGAATAAAATAAAATTTATAACATAAATAATTATTTTAATTACTTTTGTATAGCTATACAAATTTAAAAACTTTTTAGAGGCTCAATTCCGATTTTGTGATATATTAAGTTATTTGGAACAAAAATAATATGTTCACTACCTGTTGACTAATTACGTATTAGGCAACTTCCACTTATATTTTGTACCCAACTGAACTTTCTTATCACAAAAAAAAACACACGAAAACAATTAATATTGTATCGATAAAAATATATCCGAAAATAATACCTTATAGAGCAATGTTCTTAAATGGTTCAATACTCTTCTCGGTGACCGATAAGGGTGCCAATTTGGCTGTTGTTTTATGCAAAGTTTTTTTCTTTTTCCAATATCAACAAAAAATCGAAAATAACAAAACAGCCAACACTCAAATTTTTTAAAATAAAAAAAAATTATTTAAAAAAATATAAATTAATTTTTTAATATAACAAACAATAAAAAAACAAAGTAAATTTTTATATAAATTTAAATATTCAATTTATATAATTTGTTTAAATATTTGTTTATCTAATGATAAACTATCTATTTTATTTTTTTTCATTCCCCATTTTGTTGTGAGTAGTTTTCGTGTTTTTTTTTATATTTTCCTCTTCAAAATTTGTTTTGATGTCATTGCTGCTGTTGAAATAAAAAAAATCGCTTGTTTTTTAATTTTTTTTTTTCAATATTGCCTGTATTAACGTCATTTAAAGATAACAAAACGGGTTTTCTGTGAATTCGTTTCGTCACACAACGTTTAAGCTCAGATCATGTTTTTGTTGTTGTTATTGACTTTGTAATGACAAAAACGAACATATTAGGAAATTCCCTTTTTGTAAAAAAACCAAAAATATCTAAAGAAAATTCTCAGTTTTTGTGTGGAAAAAATTACAAAAAATTCCAATTCTAAAAATCCCCTGCTTTAGCAAATAATATATTAAAATAATTGTATTAATATTTATAAATGTAAACATATTTTCTTTACATTGCATCATACAAATCGGAATTCATTCAAACGTGAATTATTTTTTTTTTCTGGGGATTGACTTTTGAAACATCATTTATTGTTGAATGGTGTTAACCCAGAATTGACTCTTAATGTGATACCATATCATATGAATACCAATTTGTCACATAATTTTGTTCCACCAAAAAAATTCTGAATCTTCTTGTTATCATTAATACATTAATAATCTATTTCGAAATTCCCAATTGAAATTAGTTATCAAAACAAACATACAAATTGCTCAATTAATCAAAATTTGGGGAATAATTGAAAAAATAAATACAAAAAAAGAAAACAGAAATTTTGTACCAACAGTTTTTTGTTTTGAAATTGAATTTCGAATTATTTAGAATCACTTTTCTTTTTTTATATAAACTTAACATTAGCGAATTTATGTGAGTTTATTTTCTTATTTATTTTTTAATCAATTTTTTGCATAAACCAGCAGTTGTTTGAAGAAACCATATCATTTCAAGTTAAATTTTATTGAAGCCTCTCATCAATATAAAACAAAATTATAGTTCCCTGTAAATATTTTCTATGGTCGCCCTATATTGTTCTATTAAAGTTTTATCTTGTGATCATTTTAGTAGTCTCCTTTTATGTTTCCCTAACTACATCGGAACGCATTTACTTATCGTTGTTATCTTCTTGTCCAATTAAATTTCCAAAACATATTTCATTTAAGTTTTATGGTTTTTTAATTCGAAAAAAACCCATCACTTTGCTTCAAGGACCCAACATAAGTTCTGGGGCATAAGTAGAAATATTTTATGTATGCATTTATTCACTTGTTCTTGTGAAAATGACAAGGTCATGGAGGTGACCTGGTTTTTCATAAATGTGTGGTGACCAAACACAAAACTGGGTCATTTTGCACAAAAATGTTCAAGACCTACAGTATGGTACAAAAGCAAAATGCACTTCTCACACAATATGCTCCGCCTTCTGCCGCCACCACCACCCCCTTAACAATGAGCAAATTTTGTCAAAAGCAAAAAAATGGCAAAGAGGTGACAACAGCAAAGTAATAAACAAACAACACAAAATAAAATCCAAATATTAACACAGCAAATACTTCGGCTCAAGCAATGTTTATGCTACCCGTATTAATTGTAATTTGTTTGGTTCACTTTTTTGCTGCTGCTGCTGCTGCTGTTCTCTTCTGAACATGAAAATATACTTTTCCCATTCGACATTCATCAGTTAAGGTTCTTTGCAAAGCCTTAACAAGGTCAGCAAATAATAAAAAAACGAAATGAAAACGAAAAAAAAATATGTGTAACGAAATGAAAGTAAAACTGGGTCACAGTAGGTTTTGCTTGACATCAATGCTCATTCACATAGAAATAAATTCAAAATCAATGGCATACATTGAGGCGTTAAGGCAATTGCAGCAGCTGGCAGGCGGCAGGGTTGCACTCACCACACACACACACACACACATAGTATACATGTATGTGTGTATGTATGTTTTATTGGTTCGAGGTTAAAGTTGAGAGCTTAATGTTTCTGGTATGGGTGTTGCCTTGATTTGTTAACGAGTTAGGAAGAAAAAAAAATAAATACACAAAGTTAAGCAAAGTGGTACAGTTCATTTTTCAACATTTACAAAAAATGAAATTTAAAAGATGTTGTCTAAAAATAGGCGTAAGATATAAATGATTTTTATTTCTTTTTATTTATTTATTTATTTATTATTTTTTTTTTTTTTTTTGAAAAACCTAGAAAAAATTCTTCACAAATTTATTGCAATCAAAATTTAACCTTGAAAAAGTTGAATGAATTTTCCCCACAATTCCGATGATTAAGTGCCATTTAATTTATTTATTACCCCTTGTCAGGCATTCTAGATCATAAAAATTATTTTTATTGTTACACATAGATATATGGGAGGCATTATTTTTTTAAATTTAAAAAATACAATGACAAATTTGAAACAGAAAGCTTTGTCAATGAACAATTAATTTCATTCGAAACCTTAAAAAAACATATCTTTTATTTTCTATAAAATTCGATTTGTATGAATTCGGGAGGGTTTTTATAAACTTTGTATTTATTTTTTAATTTAAAAAAAAAAAACATTTTTAACCCCATGCTTAGAAATTTAGTGGTCATTGATAGACCTAAAAAAACATTTTTTTAACCAAGCTTTGAAATTTCTATTTATTTCATTAATTATTATTTGAAAAAGTTCTCGATCCGACATTAAAGGCTTAATTTCCACTGGATATTTAATATTTTCATAGATTGTTTTAAAACAACATATTTTTTAAATCTACCCATTTAATAAAATTATTTTTGCTGCATTCGATTGTTTGATAGTTATTTGAAAAATATTTCTTTTTTTAATTTGTTTTAATCCTACCAAAATGTAAATGTGTTTCTATAATTTATATAACATTTCCCATATTTATAAAAAACTTATCTAATTAATTTATTTTTTATTTTACCTTTTTCAGGAACCCATTGAACTGAAAAAACGTTTGGAAGAAGTGCGTCTCTTAGAATCGAGACGTTCAGCCCGTTTAGCCGATCAGGATACAGATTTTGCACGTTTAGCCGACATGGGTGGAGACAGACGCAAGCCATCACACAGTATTGAGGTGCCATTATCAGTCACACAGCAGCACAAGTAAGTTGCAAATTTAATTTCAATATTTTATTTAATCAAAAAACAAAACAAAAAAACACGACGGAGCAACACCATTTTAAATGCTTCCGCCTATAAATAGTTAATCGAAAAAATATATGCTAATTATATTAAAACTAAAAAATCAAAATAAACAACTTTAAAAAAACCGAAACAACCAAAAACAAAACTAATGGCATGTAAATGCTGGTGCCACAATACAAAACAAGAAAAAAACTGAAATCAAAATTAAAAACAAAACAAAATTAATGCAGTTTTTTAAAACTGGTGTTGTGTTTTGTTTGTCACTGTCTGGAAAATAAATTATACAATTAAAAGAAAATACATAAAAACACACAAATAGACGGTGGTAGCTGTGTGAGAGTGTGTGTTTTTTAAATAATAAATTAGTTTTGTTTTTTTTTTTATTTTCCGTACAGTTTACCCAGACTTTATTATTTAATTGTAAACAATAACATACGGCAGAGGAATATTAGTTGAAAAAAAGAAAACAATAACAAAAATAATATTTTGTTGAATATCAAAACTTAGAAAAAATAGTAGTAGTAATAACAATTACGTCGCAAATTGTTATCTTATCTCCAATGTATGTGGTAATGTGTTGAATTAAATGCGATTTATATATGAAGTCGTCTGCTTCATTTTTTTTTTTTTTTTTGTAGTCATAATAACTCGTCATAATTATGGTTTTTGGTGGGGACAGCCCTGACACTTGACGATTCAACACATTCAAGTGCTATGTTGAAATGCACTTGAAAAAAAAATCGGTTCACAGCAACAACATCAATTCGAATTATTCAAGGCAAATGGACGGAAGTCAATCAATTGTAACACTTTTTTATTTTTATTTTTTATTTCGATATCTTTTATTCGAAATAAAGATTTTCAATTAGTTTCACAAGGAAATAATATTTAAAAATTAGAGACCCCCACTTTGAAAAACTGTTCACATATAAGTTTTCAATAATTCCTTTTGATATCTATCTAATAAAATCCCATATTTTATTGCTTAATAAATATTAATATTAGAATTCCTTCCTCGATGTGCATACCAAAAAGTCAATTGCTCTTTATTAATTATTTCTTGAAAAAAACTAAAGCCCTCGAGACGACATTAAGGGTTAAATGTTAATAACGCATTAACAACAACTACTGGTTCCAGTAATTATTTATGGCCCATAAAGAACACAAAAGCAAGCGAAGCACTGCAAGAGAAAACCAACAAAACATTTTGTTACAAATATTTCGAAAATCAAATAAGAAAACAAAATGCAGTCGAACTTCTCTATAACATGGCAGGTTGAGTAATTAGGCACTTGTATAGTATTAAGAAGGGGGGCTATACCTGCTACACCATTTTATATCATTATATGGGGTCTACCCTCAAACTTGGGTCAATAATAACAATTTTTGGTAGGGAGATTTTGTACCTAATAAGAATATTAATATAAGAATATTAAATTATAAAACGTTGACCAATATATTTTTTATGTATGCCCAAAATTCTAAAGCTCTTTACTTTAACATTGAAAGATCTTTCGCGATTTCAACAGACGCCCAAGGATATACTTTTTGGGTCTTGCAAACGGAATCTCGAATTTAATAAAACCTTTAATCTATAAATAGGATTTTCCCGCATGTTGTAATATTCCTATGATTAAAAACGATCCATTTCTTAATGACGATCATGGTACCAATTTATTAAATTTTATCAGAGTCTGCAATGGCATTTTTAAATCTTTTCCTCAATTTTGAAAAAAAACATCTGCAAATTTTTTTATCTAATTTCTATTAAAATGTTCGCTGGGCATTGAATTCCCTTTGTAAAACGACTGCCGTTTTTGTATATATATTTTTTTATATGGCATTTCATTCAACTTTGAATTGTTGATAGCAGTTTTAACAGAAAATAAATAATAAAAAAAACACAAAATAAAATAGAAAAAATTAAATTAAATTATTTCATAGACGACGCGACGACATCGAATGCGCCATACTCAAATGTAATGCAGAAAAAAACAACAACGTCTTTTTCTTTTGCTTTTCCAAGCGATAAGCATTGTTCCAATGGCTACTAGAAAACGAAAGAACTAAAGCATAAAGCAACTTGCAAAAATAAGAAATAGTTCATCACATAGATATGTATGCATGTGAGTATGTATGACAGAGTCCAGTATTACTGGGCCTGTACTGGCATCTTCATTGTCAACATTTCCCTGTCATCATCACCAAAATGCGCAGCTATGGCGGCAGAGTCATAGTTGTTAGTTGTGTAGTGCATCATCGGCCACGTTCTCATCATCGGCCACGTTCTCAATTGATAATCAAGAAGAAGAAGAAATATATAACAAAAAACAATAAAACTTATACGCAACAAATAAAAATAATAATAACAACAACAAAACACAAAGTAACACTGGTTTACATTTGTTCTGTTTTTAAAAATACCATTTTTTATTTAGTAGTAAAGAGGTGAAATATGAAAATTGCTTATAGACTACAAAATAATTCGAAAACTTCTGAAACGGAAATCTAGTCAAAATATCGTAATTAAATAGCAATTCGTTAAAATCAACTCAACAGCCATTTTTACTCAGCCAAATAACTAAAGTACACTATTTTAATGGACTTTATTCATAAAATTCTTTTCATTTTTTACTCTCTTACAGCCTGTTTTTGGAAATTTGGAAAATTAAATTAACTCATTACATGGCCAAACTCATTGGTTTTGAAAAATATGTCATTTATTTTTTTTTCAATACAGAAAACCTTTATAAACATAAATAAAGGTTTTTATTCATAGAAATTCTCTGGAATATTACAAAAACTCTCTTAATAGTTAAATTTATATCATCATCTATCTGTCTATGTTGGTGTTCTGATATCAAACCATTTTTTTTTATTTCAGAATTTGTTTTCATATTTTTTTTTTGTATTTTTATAATTTATTTTTTATATTATTTTTTGTCACGATTTTTTAATGTCACCACTTGTAAAAAAATCTGTAAATGAGTGTTATATATGTATGTAAATATAAATATTTACATATATAAAAAAACTTATAAAACAATACAAAATAGAATCATCTATTGAAGAATGAGACGTCATGCAGTGAGTGTTACAGCTTTTTTTCTTCTGATTGTCAGTCGGTTTCTGATCGGGTGTGGCCCTTATTATTGATGATGTTGTTGTTGTTGCTATTGTTATTATGACATCAAAACACGCTTAAGTTGCGATAATTGCTTCCAGCTTAGCTATAAAACTTCTTCAAAGCCAAAGCCTCTGAGTAGTGAGTACATTGTGGAAACTTCAAAAGTCGTGTGTGTGTGTGTATGTATGTAATTTGTATTCTACACATTGTAGAGTCAGAATCAACTGCGTTACTGTTGCAATCGATTTTTTGTTGTATCATACTCTAGCTGGACACAAAAGACCAAATGAATGGGTTCTCCATTATAAGAAATTGACCCATAGCCACATACACATACATGCATACGCATACATACGCGTCTGTGTGCAATTATAACCACATTCATGGGTAATGACGATAATGTAAAGATGGTGGCGGTTTTCTCAAATAGAAGATATTTTCCAAATACTTGGTAGAGGACGATTCTTCAACTTACAGGCCACGCACACATACTGCAGTGCATCGTACCTAAATTATAATCCCATCGATAACACACAACGCACAAATTGCCACCACCACCACTACCACCATCATCATATGTTCATTCTATTCATTTTCCCCGGGCCGGCACACTTCCCGCACCTCTCATCCAACCAACTATGTTAGCCTCGATTTTCTATTGAATTTTAATGAATTGAAAATCAATTAGAAATTTCTATTAATTTGAAATTGAAAGGCTTTCCGTCAGATTGAAGATAAATAAACTTTTTGGGTTACCATAACTATTTAGCAATTTGCTCGGATCTGATGTAATGTTTTCAAAATTTGTTTTTCTTTTCAATATTATTTTTTGTGTTTTGTTGTTATGAGGCTTCAATTATTGCTGTTGTTAGTTTTAAGTTGTTTATTTATTTAATTTTCAGAAAGAAAGAAAAAAACAAGAACCTCGCAATGATTACTTTTTTCATTAAGTTGAAAAGGTACAACGGGGTGGGGGCAATTTTAGTAGCCCGATAGGAAAAATTGGTTAAATGAGTTATTTTTTCTGATGTGGAAACAAAACATATGAGCCAAATATTTAATAGATTTCAGTATTTTTTTCTTTAGTTCCCATTAAAATCCTCTTTACAGATTCTAAAGTGTTTTGAATTTTTCTATTTTGAAAATGAAAAAAAAATCAATAAATTTGTTATTTTCTATTGCAGTTCTATAAAACTGCAATTAGAATTCAATATGCAAATATTTTTATTACAGCCACTATTGTTTATCATTCGCTCGCTGACTGGCATGCTATATACTATGTTAACAGACGGGTTCAAAATTGTGGTGAAATTTTTTTAATTATCCCAAATGCAGGGTTTGGGGTTTAAATTGATAGCTCCTGGGCCATAATCTAAAGGGTTACAGTCTCTTTTTGTAAAATACGAATCGAACCAATTCCAACAAATTACTATCTTTATTTATGTAAAAAATGTTTTTTATTTAAAACAAAAATAAATTACATATTTTTCAAAACCAAGGAGCTTGGTCGTAAGTCACTCGAATTCGTTCGTTTAGAATTTTACAAAAAGTTTGTTGGTCTTGAAGAAATTAATAACTAGTTTGGAAATTGAATTTTACTGTGTTGCATATTTTTGGGGGTCTCAAAATGTTATATTTGTAGAAAAAAATATATTATGGCACCTAAAAGTATGCATCACATATCGTAAAAAGTCCCAATGATAAAATAGTTGGCTTAGAATATATCACATGTCAAACAATGTGATTTATCAATGGGACTTTTTACGTAATGTGGTGCATATTTTCAATTTAGTTTATCAGAACCTTCAAAATACTTCCGAAATCGCTTGAA